CTGTGGGACGCGCGTATTAACTCGCCCCTTATTTCTGTTTACCTAAATGAAATGTCTTCACCACCCCATAGATGGCGTTAGTTCTGTAAATTTCAAATAGAGCATCGTGTGTAACATCATATTTCGAAATGTACCCTAAGTTATTTTATTGTAGTTATTTACAGTGTTAAAATATAGTTCACAAAAAATAGGCAATTTTATTTACTTGTGGGTAGTTCATTATAATTTATTCCGACGACTCGCCTAAAAGCACCAGTCAGGGAGTGGAAGTTTGATTGTCATCAGAAGATATAATATAATAATATTTTCGGACATCTCACACAACGCCATCTAGTCTCAAACTAACCAGAGCTTGTACTATGAAAGCTAGATTGACAAACAGAATACTTTTACACTTTTTTTTCGTAAATAAATGCACAGTTGACAGCATTATCTTGTAGAGTAGACAGATTCTTACCCTCTTATATAATGTCTAATGTTATCAAGAACAGACTGAAGAACCTTACCCGATAAAAGAAGTTACATCTTTTTCTATAACTCCACCTCTAATCACAAAGCCGCTGGGCAAAGCTTTGTAATAGTTCAAAAAATACATACCAATATTTTTAACTATTATTTTCTCATGATAAAAAAGACAGTGATATAATAGTCGATTTAATAACTCGGTGAACAAAAGCTTTATGTTTTATTTGAGAGGAACTTTTAATAATTCATTCGTGTCATAGAGAACAGTCTTTTGGGAAATTATATTTTATACGCGTGCCCCCGTTTTGGTGCAGTAGTGTCGTTCCTGGGACCAGGTGTCATAGTTGGAGCTGCGCGGAATTAGTTTGTGTTGATGGTGGCCACGTTTGGTCCGCATGATAGGCACTGTGTACAAAATTAGATATAGAGGTAGATTGAAATACATGACAACTTTTTTTTTGTTTACTTGTGCTTCACTTAAATATAAATGTTCCTTTATTTAAGTTTTACTGATTTTGAAGAGTCTCGTATGAACATAATGTGTATATTCTCATTCGGTGACAGGGGTTAATTTTTTTTAAACTATCATATTTATTATGTACCTCTGGTTGGTGGATTGACTACCTCGTTTAAAATTATTTATACTAAAAGCTTTGTATATAGTTTAAGCGTACTTTAAAATAGGTTTTTACATGAAAGTCTCGTATGAAAAAATAAAATGCTTTGAGAATTTGTTACAGATTAGATTCTCGTGAGTATGGTTTGCATAAGCTATAATGAAAAAGAAGTTTATACTATAATATATTGTGCATGTAACATTTTGTAGCAAGTAGGTGAATTGTACGATATGTGACCGTTTGCCAGTAATGTTATTATATGCTATTAGCTGCTGCGCTTTTATTTACATGATCAAGGTGAATAAAGAAAGTATGTATGTACTTACGTTTTGGATCTTTTGTGTATCACGAACAAGAAATAAAAAACACTCCAGAAGTTCCGACGGAAGTAAAAAAGTTTTTTTTTCGATTCGAAAAGTTCCGACATGACACGTTGTACGTATATACACAATATATTTTTGTATCGTATATATTTATGTCAATGTATTTCCACCTAAACTCAACTCTCGTGTAAATGAAGCCTATATATGTAGATACTTATATACAGAGGTCAGTGGCGAATTTACATATTTTGCCGCCTGTAGGCTATTCAACTTTTGCCGCCCCTACTAACACTACTACTAACGTTTGCAATTCAGTACTCTTTTTTTTATGTTTGGAGATCACCTCGGGCCGTTATACCGGGATTTGCGGCGGGGCGGTGTGTCGAGGAGACCCCCCTCCTCCGGGCTGAGTGTAATTTGTTACGCCGATGACACTTTGGTTACAGCCCGAGCGGCGAAATTTGAAGAGGCGGCGCGCCTGGCCATCAGGGGTACCTCTATGGTGGTGTTTTTTTTTTTAAATAGACAGTCTTCGCACTAGGAATATATTCTGTGTCGCGGGGAACTTTACAAACATGTATGACATGGACATGACACACAGAACACTCAGAGTTTTGTGGATCACACAAAATGTTGTAGGAAGCAGCGAGGTGACCGCTTAAACCACTACGCCATCCGTGCAGTCAATAGACATCATTAAGGCGCTAGACTTACGGGTGGCTTTGTATAGGTCGGAGGCATTCTTATTTCATGGTTCCCATAGTGATCCACACCCTGACGCCTTGATCGTGATCAACTAGCCCCTCGTACCGGTTTATGCCCAGATTAACGGGAGGTGGCTCTTCAACTAGCACTTGCGACAGCTTGAAAGAAGAAAGATAGAAAATTTATTGGCACATGCAAAATTCCTTACAAAAAGTGCCAATAGGTCTGCAGCTCAGCATACTGTTGGATGGCCACAGGTGCCTTCCAACGCTGGTTTTCAGCTGCAGCCCATGAGACTGGGTGTTGTCTGCTCGAAGCCATTCAAGTGTGTGATTGTGTGAGTGTATATATATATATCGAAGCCATTCAAGTGTGTGGTTGTGTGCGTGTATAAAAAGCTTGGGAAGTTCACCGTATCTACAAATTAGTAGTAATCGACCTACATAGTGTAATAGTATAGAATAATAGTAGAAATGCCGTGGGAGAGCAACCGTAATAATTCTATCCACTTATCTTATGAATTTGAACAAACGGAGGATCAACTGAAACACTCGTAAAAAGTCACCAAAATAGGTCTCGAGGTTTAAGAGGAGTTCAGAGACAAACACACATACACAGGAATTATTAATCAATAACATCAAATATCCACTTGAAATCGCTATAATTTGAACTAGTTGAATAAAAAATAATGTAAAACAAAAATTTCATTACTACATTTTATTTCCGTCGAAAACTACAGATGTGATTTTTCCCATAATGAACATTATGCGACCACTAAACGGCATTCCCCATGCACTATAGAGAACAATCAGACCAATCAATGGTATCCCGCAGCTAATTGCGAACACTGGCCTGATCGGAGAGGGCTCTTGCGTCCCTCCGTGGGTTTTATCGTCTGTAATTGTTCGATTGTCACCGCAACTGTTATTGGGGAGGGAGAGGGGGCTGCACTCACAAGTTAAAGGGCTGTTGTAAATGAACGAATGTATTTTCTAATTAGCCTATTCGAAGGGTACGCAGTGTGATCGTCAATCGTCTATGCTTGAGCTAGCAAGTACACAGCTTGTTTTTGCTTTAATGTATTTTTCGGGTTCCGTACCTCAAAAGGTAAACAAGGAACCCCATATAAGATCACTTTTCCGTCTGTCCGTGTGTCACCACCGATTTTCACCGAAACAAGACACTGAAGTCTATGGTCCCTATTAGGTGTATAAAATCAAGGTCCTGAGCCAACACGACAAAAAGGTATGGGCAAATTTAGATTTTCGCGAAAACTTGTAAGAATCAAAATTTATCTTAATTTTCAACTTTTTTTATTTTTCAGAATTTTCTCTTTACTCGTGCTGTAAGACCTTGCTTTTAACCAAAATTGACAATTCTAGGTCAACCGGAAGTACCCTATAGGTTTTGGGTCGAAAACCTATATGGTAGTTCCCGTTGACCTAGAATCACGAAATTTGACAAAAAGAAACGTCTTACAGCACAAATAAAGGAATAATTCCAAAAAATAAAAAAAAAGTTGAAAATTAAGATAAATTTTGGTACTTACAACTTTTCGCGAAAATCTACGTAAAATCTGGGTAGGTACGGAACCCTAGGCGCACGAGTTCGACTCGTACCTGACCGGTTTTTTTATAAATATTTTTAGAACTAATTTCATGCGTTAAATTTTGAACTATATCGACAAGTGTGCTTACTGTATTTTGAAATAAATTACAGATGTAGATATTTACAATACCCGATGAGGTAGGCAGAAGGTATCTCCACATTTGGCAAATCTGATTTTGTTAGTCTGTTACAACTTAACGGTCACTTTGGGTACCTATATAAGATGGGATTAATATTTGGAGTATTATAATAGATAGGTAGAAGGGAAAGCTATCGATGCTATGCTCCAGCAGATCCGGCCGGAAAATCCGAGTCCTCCAACTAAAGAATGATTATATTGTAAAGAGAATATTGATACACTCTTCTCGTCAAGTCAATGTAAATATAAAGTGTTTACATTGACTTGACATTATGATATTGTATATTAAGCAACGTGTAAATTGACGACATTGTTGACGCCCATTTAAAAATTAGACTGTCTCGTGTACACAGTATGTAAACATTGACTGATAATAAGTCAGTTTATGCCTACATTAAGATAAAGATTTACTTACAAGATGTGAGGTATATCTATTATAGCGAACATTTCTATTAATGACCACTTGCGTAAAATGTAAGTTTTACTGAGTATCTCATAAATTTCTTATGAGGTTTATACTTTTTTCAACAGGGTTGGAGACCACGTGGTTTTAATAGATTCGATACCGGCACAACACTTTACGATTAGCTCCAGTATGGTAATTAATGGGTTTTTTCTCTCCGTAAAAAAACTCTGACATGCTTTATAATTAATAAAAAAAAATGTATTTCTTCGAAAAAAATCTTGGTACTTTATCTAAAGCGATAAATGGGCCGTAAGTGACGAGCGAGCAGTGCTTGCGGCACAACCACATGTTTATCGATGTAATCGAGTGGTGATGTACCGCATATCGATAATGAGATTTATGTTAATACCCGTGGAGCCGCAGGCTTTGGCAGTTCTCCGCGACACTGATCGTTATGCTCGTTATAAATTCGAAGCGAATTAAATACCGATCATGCTTTTTTATCTATATTACTTATTTTGACCTCGTAAACAACGCAAATTAATATACATAATTTTTGATTTTTCTTTATACTTAACGAACGGTACATTCTATTTTAGATGTAAACCAAATACTTATAGCAAATAATGCGGTAAATGTGTTACACCAAATTAAGAGTTTAAAAAAATATTAAAGTCATACGTATTATTTATTTGCTTTAGTAATATTATTTTGATTGTTCATTTTGTATGTTGCAGTACCTGGGTTCGTTCCCGGTGCCCGGCGGCGAGCCCGCGGCGCGCGGCGATGCCGTCTCTGCGAACCTACATCTCATGAAAGTAAGTATAACGTTCGTTCGTAACGTCGTTATGTACACTGTATAAGTATATGCGTAATATTGTATCAGTGTTTTGTATGAAATGGTTAATGAGCTTAAAATTAAAATTTCAGTAGCAAAACAGCTTCTTTGGCTTTTCATTTACATAATAACGGTAGCGCTGTTGATGGTTTGTCAGAACTAGAGAATAAGGCAAGGCTTTTAAGATTTTAAATTTTATTCTTATTTGCTGGCAGGGTCCCAAAACTATTACGATGTACAATATACTTTTACTTTTAAGAAAATTAATAAGAGCAATGAAATAGATGAGACGATGATCAGGCTAAAGTCATCCGAGGATCGAGAATTTGAGACAGTGAGTATAATAGCAATCTCTACGGCAAACAGGCGTTACACAGCTAGTTTGACATGTTTTTTCCATTTTATACTTGTTTTGTATGAATTGCCAGAGTTTCATACCAAGATTGTAGCTAATATTGTAGCCTATATATATGTACTAATAACATCTTATTATGCGGTGGTTTTAGTTAGATTATTTGTACCTTTAAAACAGATATTGAACTCTAAAATTAATACTTTATATATAGATCGAATATAACTCTATTACTATTCGAAATCTAATGGTGATAATAGTAGTTTACAAGATTTATGTACTTCTTCACGGAATCAAATTGGAAAAACGAAAAAAGAAGTATTGCCTCCCTTTGAGCGTCATCTGTAATCCATTGTGATCTGAGGGCGCGAGGTTTATTACCGCGGGTAATACGTACTCGACGAGTACTTCACGAGTTACTCAGCCTCTATTGCGGCTCAAACTCCTCTATGTGCCATTCCTAAAATAAATATACAGCGAAACTCACTTAACGTGCCCCCTACTTTTTTACATTTTGGTCTGTTTTTTAAACAATCGGTGAAGGAATAGCAAGGGGTAATGTCACGCTCCCGTGGCAAGAGAACGATGATGTACTGCTAGGTGAAACACACACATAGGTATAACACTGTACGAAAATGTATTTATCAGTGTAAACCTAAATGGTTTTTAAAAATGACTAGGAAACATTTCGGCTCATTACTACTGTGGAAGTGTGATTATTATTGACCTGTTTGGTTGTGTTGGCAAAATTAAAAAAGGAAATGTGTAAACAGCTTTTAAAAAAATTAACACTTTCAACAATAAAATATAAATCTAACAATATTAAAAGTGTTACTGATTTTGTCATAAAGCGTTCCTAAAATTAGGTACTTAAATAATCAATGTCTAGTGACCTAAGTTAACTTTTAAACATAAAGACACAGCAAACATAATTTTTTAATATTTGAAATATTAATAAAAAACATTTTTAACAAAAAAAAACCGACTTCAAAAAACACTATTCCAAAACAAATTAATATGCACTAAAAAGGAAAAAAATAAATGCATATTCTTCTACAACTTAATAATCAACTTACTTTTTCTACTCATCTATATGTAGGGACGATCTATGTGTTAACCGCGCAAGAAGGTAGGTAGGTACCTACCCATTTCAAATCTAATTTAACATATACCTGTGAATAACAAACAACGATCAAAATATTTATTTGCGTTCTCCTAAGTAAAATAAAATGAATATAATGTAGTTACAATTATTGTTATTTTTGCAGTCGGTGTCAGCCAAGTCGGTGTCACCTACACCTTATAAGTGAGAAGTGCTTGTGTCGCACGCGCGAGTTGACGAGTCTTAAAGTATTCTCGTATTATTATTGCTAGGTATATCGTAGTGTTTCCTTGGCTGGGTGGATGTACTTTAAGGGTACTTTGATGAGAGTTTGGTTAGATTCTGATGATGGGATCAGAATCTAACCAAACTCTCATCAAAGTACCCTTAAAGTACATCCATTCCAATAAAAAAAGAATTATCGAAATCGGTTTGCGTGAAATTGAGTTATTCGTCTATTTGTCGCGAACATACTAAATGCAAATTTAAGACTTATATGGTTTTCTCATGGATGCCATTATCAGAACTAAACCAAATTAAAATGGGACCACACGAGAAGCACCAGCTTTCAAATAAAAAAGAATCATCAAAATCGGTTCACCTAGTCAGAAGTTCTGAGCTAACAACCAAAAAAAAAAAAAAAATACAGTCGAATTGAGAACCTCCTCCTTTTTTTGAAGTCGGTTAAAAAATATAAAAAAATAAAAATATTTGAAAATATAGTTACAAAGTATTTTAAGAAACAGAAAATATAAGTACTTACGGAATACAGTTTATGTAATTGTAAAATATATACCTTATTACGGAACACTAACTGAATTAACTCATAGTGACATGGTAAAATGCGTCATGTTACAACCATAGCTGACATAATATATTTGTTTAAGGGTCGTTGAAATAAACTCAAGTTTCAGATCACGAGTTGATCACTCATAAGTAACAAGTCAGTTGAACGAGTTGAAAATCGATGGGAGACAACGGTACGCAACAGTAGTCTTATGTCTTTAATATTTTTAACTAGTTGCCGCACAAGATTGAGCACTACCACATAACATCATCAGACATGTTAAGAGAGATAGTCAATATATAATTCAATAACATAGTTATATGTTATTACTCCGTCGTTTCTTCTACTGTTCTAAATTAGACCCCATATTGACTTACGCTGCAATATTTAGTCCTCCACGATCAGTCTCATCCGTAGGCTTTAGGTGGATGTTGTTCAACGGAGCGCGACACAAAGCCTCTCCTTCACTTACTCATTCACTAAGCTCTTGTATTGTTTTAAGCAACGCGATGCATATTACATGTGCAGCCTGTATAGCCGGCGAGCGAGCATTGTTACTGAAATGGTGTCAACGGTGTCAGGTTATGTCATATGGTTAGAATTTCAGTTTGAGACTGAAAAATGGACTGAAGAATAAATAGTCGCCTATGTACAGTATTGTAGGAATAGTAATTTAAGGCATTTTCGAAACTTCAATTCTGTGTTTGGTTTATGGAGACTCTGCGTTAAAACATTACACTGCCATGTCACTAGACGCAAGTTTGTTTCCAGCACAATGTAAATATATGTACGAGTACGTCTAGGATGTTTATCTTATGCAAAAAATCATCGTATATGCGCTTTAATGTGTTTGTGTATGTATGATTTGTGCGTCCATTTTTGCATACACTCATTTCACAATTTTTTTCAGGAGATATTCTTGTTCCTTTATAATGTGATTTATACTAAGACTAACTACTAAGACTACTAAACAGCATAAAAACACTTTTTCAGTTCTCACCATCGCTAAGATCCACATTCAGTTTTAAAATTGTTTCCAAATTCACCAGTGTGTCAGTGAGAGGTCACGGGTCGCACCTTTGACCACCCCTTCCCCCGACCCCTATAGCCCCGCGCCTCGCCGAACTCTCTTGTCCTGCAAAGGGTTATCGTTATCTACTTTGTTACTATAAGATATACTCTAAGTGAATTAGGCTAAGTTAGTTTATAGTTGTTAGAATCTTTGACGGTTTACAATGTAAGTGTTTAAATTATATTACACGCAGGTGGACGAATGTAAAATTTTGAAAGTACGTGTATGAATATATTTTATAAAAAAGCGGAAAAATAAAATATTTAATAATTTTGTAAACAATTTAAAAATTCACACAACACATTTAAATGGTAACATTTAAAGCCAATGAATTATAAACATTGTACTACTAAGACTGGCCATTGTAAGTATCATATTTACTTACACGTAATTCTTTTTAGAAGCCTTTTGTTACCATCCTCAAAACTTAGGCTTTACACAAACTCATTTTCTTTTCTCTTTATTAACGTTGTAAAAACTTCAATCCTTAGAGACTGAATAACACCAGTCTTATGAGTGACAAGATGAGCCGCCGTAGAGCTTCTACGAAGTGCTACGACGGGTTAATGATGATAAACGCCCTCCGTAGCCACTCACTAACAAGCCTTAACACATCATGGGCCACTAAGCCCCCGCATACTCCACACTTAAAAGCTGAATTAATTTACCTTTACTGTGCATATTAAGGTAATTTTACTTCATTTCTAAGTTTATTGTTAAATACTAATTTTTTAATGTAATGTGTGTAACGGGCATTAACGCTATTAACCATTAACAGGTATTACATACTTTTGAATTAGCTGACATTGTGCCCAGATTGCAATGGCCGCGGTCACACACTAGTGCTCATTGGTGCATACCTATCGTCGTCGAATCCATGAGGATTTAAAAGCAAGCGAGAAGAAATTAAATAAAAAGGCAGAATATGTTGATAGAGGAAGAACCTTCTAGAATCGAAGACACCAACAGGTGTCCTGGTTGAAACGTCAAACAATTAAAGCAAGTGTATTACTAGTACTATTACATAGTACCATATACACATAACTTTTTCTTTTATAAATAATCATTATAATTATGTAGTATAGAGAGATAGATATATAATTTATGGTTAAAGCAATTTCTATGCAATAACTGTATATAGGTAACTGTATTATGTTTGTACATTTCATTTGCCCACAAAATTAGAGGACATCAATTCATTGCCCAAACTTCTAACAAGATTAAGGCTCATTGGCTTTTTTGTTCGTCGCCAAGTCTCTGCCATGATTAGATCTGCGGCTCTAAGTTATTGTGCCTGCATCGAATAAACGAAAATTGTGTGACGGTGTTGTAAATTTGAATACCACAAAATATTACCTCGACAACACACCATTACGGCCTATTAAAAGTAATATTATAATTCTAAATTGCAAGATTCTAAAGGTTAATAGTAAATTTAATGCTCTAATCGATTTTGTACGTGATTTCGCATTCATTTAGATGTTTTTGTACATTTTGTTTCTTATCATTGGTATCGTGGGGTAGAAATGTTACGCTCACACTGCATAATGTAATTACGAAAAATATGTTAAGTACGTATCAGCAGTCTAGTTATCATAGAACAGGCTTTGCCTAATTTGGGATCAAACTGTCGTATTTATAACTAACTATCTTTAACACCCACAGCA